GTTATTACCATTTATGAATCATAGAATCCTATAGTTAGAAGGGACCCCAAGTCCAACCCCCTTCTGCCATGCAAGAACTCTCAATCAATGGCGATCCCGCCTCTGTTTAAAGACCTCCAAAGAAGAAGACTCTACCATCCCACCTGGGATTTGAACCCAGGTCTCCCGAGTCCTAGTCCAATGCTCAAACCACCATGCCATGCTGGCATATGCATAAGGAATTATCTTGGGTTCCAAGTATAAACACAAAATTCATTTATATCATTTACACCATGTACACATAACCTTTATACACAGTATTTTATTAATTTTGTGCATGAAACAAAGTTTGTGCACATTGAACCACCAGAAAACAAAGGTTTCACTCTCTCAGCCTCTCATGCAGACAATTTTGGATTTTGGAATATTTTGGATTTCAGAATTCTGGATAAGGGAGACTCAATTTATATTCCAATCCGATCTTTATTCTTCCATTAAAATGCAAGATCTTCATAAAACATGATACAAAATAAATAAAATAAATAATAAATAAATAAAAGGTAAACACTATAAACCAGACAGAGGGTAATAATATCAATTCAGCACTTATTTAGAATTTTTTAAAGAGGGAATTAGACTTAGTATAATTGACAAAGGGAGACAACCCTCAAGAATTACATATGTGCCTGAATCATGATCTTACGAATCTTAAGAGGCAAAGAAAAGGAGCTTTGCAAACAAAGGAGTTTTGCAACACCACTTCAAATGGCATCCTATGGAATCCTGGGATTTGTAGTTTTACAAGGTCATTGGACTTCTCTGCCCAAAGAGCGCAGCTGGTGCCCCACAAAACTACAAATCCCAGGCTCCTGTAGGATGGAGCCATGGCAGTGAAAGTGGTGTCAGACTGCGTTCTTTCTACAGTGTAGATGCACCGAAGGTGACCTACTTCTGAATAATGAGGCATGTCTGGAATAAGAGCATGGGTGCCTAGCTGGCTTTTTAGGAGGAGGACTGAAAGGTCTATCATCCCCTTTTTAAGGAAAACGAAGGAAAGCACTTCAAGGAGAGCCAGAGGAGCCAAGAACCGAGCCATGAAGATCCAGTTCCGAAACTCCCACCTGGACCTGAGAAAGTGTGCCAAGAAGCCACCTTGCCGCCACCTGTGCCATCGGCCCAACAGGTAGGAAGGAGGGCATCCGCACTGCAGAAATAATGTGGTTTGACACCGCTTTAACTGCCGTGGCGCCATGCTAGGGAATCCTGGGCTCTGAGTTTATTAAATGGTGGATTTTAAGTGTGGATTGGCTTAGAATGTGCCCGTCTTATTTGTCCTTTTAAATTGTTGCCTGTTTTAATGAATGTGTTTCAATTGATGTTCTGCATTGTTTATTTGTGGTTGTTCCTCACCTAGGATTCCACGGCACTGAGCCGTGGCAGTTAAAGTGGTGTCAAACTGGATTATTGGTGCAGTCTAGACACACACTAAGAACAATTGGGAAAACTGTGTTTCTAGGGCACCCACGGAGTACATGATAACCACTTGTGGTTTTGGCTCTGGATCAAAGTCAATCCATGATCAAACACAGCAGGGAGAGATGTAGCATCAGGGTTAGGGTTGCAGTCTGGGTTAGTATATAGTATTTAAGGGGAGTTCAGCATCCATGGGTTTTGGTATCCATCGGGGTATGTGTGTCCTGGAACCAAGCCCCAGCACATACTACTACTACTACTACTACTACTACTACTACTACTACTACTAATAATAATAATAATAATAATTTTCCCATTGTATATAATGGAAGTTGAGCATCCATGGATTTTGGTATCTACGAAGGGGCCTGGAATCAAACCATAGCGTACACCAAGGGTTAATAATAATAATAATAATAATAATAATAATAATAATAATACCCTGTTGTATATAACGAGACTTGAGTATCCATGGATTCTGGTATCTACGAGGGGTCCTGGAACCAAACCACAGTGGATACCAAGGGCCCATTGTAATAATAATAATAATAATAATAATAATAATAATAATAATAATAATAATAATAATACTCCATTGTATATAATGGGACTTGAGCATCCATAGAATTTGGTATCTACGAGGGGTCCTGGAGCCAAACCACTGCAGATACCAAGGGCCCACTGTAATAACAGTAATAATAATAATAATAATAAGAATACCTCATGGTATGTAATGGGACCTGAGCATCCACAGATTTTGGTGTCCATGGTGGGTCCTGGAACCGAATCCCAGCAGATACCAAGGGCCTACTGTAGTACCGAATATTGTCTTGGCATGGCTGTTGAGTCTGGGACGGTCACAATCATAACTTCTTTTTTTCTAAAACAATGTCTGATGTCCTTCAGGAAAAGGCAGAAGAGGAAGAAGGCCACCCTCCTGTCCTTCCTCCCCGGAACCTGGTCTGGGATGGAGAGGTCCAAAGGCCCCCTAAGCTCCCTTGCGTCCCTCAGCCTCCCACCTACGTGGAGAATTTGGAGGATTTCGGAGGGGACTACGAGGAGGTGGCTGGCCCCTCGGACCACCCAGAACCACCAAGTTTTGAGGACGATGCTGGAGGGGACTATGAGGAGATGCCGCCCCACGTAGACCTTGCATCTACTCCATACGGCGATGATGGTGCCGATGAGGGCCAGGACTATGAGGAGATCCCAGACGTGGTTGCCAGATCCTCAGGTGAGATCAAGGATAGGATGGGCCTCTCCCTTCTTCTCCAAAGAGCATTGTCTTGTGTCGCTGTCAGATTTTCCAAATATCAACCGCAAGGGACAGTCCGAACCCAAGGCAGGCAGGGTTGCAATTGGTTTCAGTGAACCTTTGGTGGGTCTACACTGGCCAGAAGATTGCAGAAGGCACCTGCAAGAAGCACAGGGCATGGGACTTCTCCCCTTCGCCACCATTTTCCACCGGAAGGCAAGAACCATGTTGGGAGAGGACAACCACAGGTGACACTTTGACTTGGAAAGAGAAAGGAAAACATGGACCTTGGCTTGGCTTGGTGGAGTTTTACAGTCCTGTGTCTTTCGGAGAGCCTCACCATGTTAGTCAATCTGGTGATCCTACCTGGTTCTATCATACAGAATCCTGGGATCTGTAGTTTGGAGAAGTATTCAGAATTCTGTCCTAGATTGCTTTGGCTCACTGCCTTGCCCTAGAGTACAAAACTTTCTAGCAGCTGATTCTAGAAGTGTATGTATGTGTATGTGTATGTTTTCAAGCTGCCTGTTGACTTGTGGTGACCCCATGAATTTTGTAGGGATTTCTTAGGCGAGGAATCCTCAGAAGTTGTTTTGCCAGTTCCTTCCTCTGAATCAGAGTATGCAGCACCTGATATTCATTGGCGGGTCCTGATCCAAGGGCTAACCGTGGTTGACCCTGCTTAGCTTCCAAGATCAGAGGTGTGTGTGTGTCTGTGTGTGTGTGTGCGCGCGCTTTCAAGTCATCTGTCACCTTATGAATTTCATGGAGTTTTCTCAGGCAGGGATTCCTCAGAGGTGGCTTTGCCGGTTCCTTCCTCTGCAATGGAGCACCTACTGGTGTCCCATCCAAGTACTAGCCATGGACCTTGCTTAGCTTCCAAGCTGAAATCCTGTGTGTGTGTGTGTGTGTTTTGGGTCTGTGCCTTTAAGTCGTCTGTGTGCTTATGGCGACCCCATGAATTTCCTAGGGTCATCCTAGGGAAAAATCCTCAGAGGTGGTTTTGCCAGTTCTTTCTTCTGAAATAGAACCTAACAGTACCTGGGATTCCTTGGTGGTCTCCCATCCAAGTATTAACGGTGGCTGCCGCTGCTTAGCTGCCAAGATCATATGGGATCTGGCACCTTGAGGGTACTTAAGCCATAATTCTAGGTAGCTCTCCCAAAATGAAAAAATCCCAGGATGGCATGGGATGGACCCATGGGAGTTAAAGTGGGATCCTGTGGTGCAGACGCTTTATGGAGGGTGATCCCCCTTAATCTCTCTGGAATGGTTGGGGATTGAACCATTCCTTCTCCTTGCGACTTGCCATAGCAATCTACATCTCCACCATCTTGGTTTCTTCTCTTGCAGAAATGGAAGCGCCTGTCTATGAATTGGAAGGAGGAGGAGGAGGAGGAGGAAGAAGCCTGTCGGCCATGGCCCTCTATGACTACCAAGGAGGTGGGTCCCTTGTAGGGGCCAGGGTAAGGGAAGTTACTTTCCAAAGGGTTTGTCTGTATATTTAAAATAGTCCAGTAATACTGCAATTAAAAATGTGCAGCCATCCAAATGTGTGCAAAGCAGATGGACGGCCACTTGCGCAATAATGTGCATCCTCACGGATACTCCCAAAATACTTGGGCAAAATCCATGAAGCCTTTTTCTCTGGAGTTTAAGGAGGTTTTATTGCCCAAAAGCCCAAAAGGCCGGATCGCATGCCCATTAACTGGAATGAGGAGTATTGTGTTGCTTTTTTAGTAAAGTAATTTTATTGTAGAAGATCAGTCGAGACAATATACATGAATTAAGTAAGAGCAAACTTGGCAATTCCACCAACGAACAACAATACAACAAAACAAACTGTAGAAGCTGTGTTTCAAAGGCCAATATAAAAGTTAGAAGGAGAAATTATAGGTTTTCTATTACTGGCTCGGAGTATGATTCTTTTATGAAATCTCTCGTATAATGTCCTTCCAGAAACCCAAGTGATGAGCTGGTGAGTTTAGACATTTGGGGTTCTTAACATAATAAGAAAGGGAACCAGGTCTCTTTGAAAGATTTACAAAATGTCTCATTTTTTAAGAATTTTTGATCTTGCACCCAACTTTTCCATTAACAGTGCATCCCATCCACAACGCCACCAGTTTTCTATGGAGATATTAATCATGTAAACAATCCCTCAGTAGATGCTGAGAACAATGAATTAGTTTTATGTCCTATAGCTTCAGGAATTTCCTTCTCCCCATTCTATCCCTGGCTGACAATTCAAATCCACCCTTCTCCACCCCAATGGGTACCTCTTCCTGATCCAGAGAAAAGGTGACCCCAATTCTTTCCCCTTTTTTTGCAGATGGCGATGATGAGATTTCCTTCTATCCTGGAGATACCATCACCGATATCGAACAGGTGGATGAGGGATGGTGGCGTGGACGCTGCCATGGCAAAGATGGCCTCTTCCCCGCCAACTACGTGGAGCTGCTCCAGTGAGGGTCTCTGGCCCACATCCTCACCCCTGTTG